TTCCTAGTCAGTACACATACCCAGGTTTGTAGGTTCAATCCCCAGTCAAGTTACATGCAGGAGGCAATCAATCAATGTTTCTCTCTCACATTGATGTTTCTCTCTCTCTCCCTTCCTCTCTCTAAAGTCAATAAAAAATAAAATTTCAAAAAATTGACTATCTTTATTATAAGACTATTAAATATGGACTGAGTTGGGGGCTCTCATGAGAAATGTAAGATATTAAAAGTATTCCTTGATTTTTATAATTGTTTCTATTAGATATGCTTTAATAATTCTATGCTAATAATTTAGCCATACTTATCAAATATCTACTATGGTTTAAAAAACTTGTCCCTGAGCTGTAAAACCAAAGGTTTCGAAACCAGTCTCTCAGAGGGAGGTAGGAGGGAGAGTAAGTCAAGATATCACTTGCTTCTACAGGAGGTTTGCCTCATCACTACTTTTTCAAAATCTTACTATCTCTGCCTATTTAAGGACCTGTTCAGCATGCGACAGAAACTTCTTAGCATGCTATTCAAGACCCTTCCCAACAGACGCCTGCCTGCATCTACCACTTTGGTCTCCTATCACTCTGGGCTTACACCATATACTCTTGGCAAAATGAATTACCTGAGATTCCCCATACATGGCATGACTTTGTACCATGCAGTCCCTCCCCGAGTGCCTTCCTGCCCCAGCCTTCCAAGTCTAATTCAGTGGTCACCTCCTTGACACTGTTTCCCCTGGGCCAGGTCGAGGCCCTGTCTCTGTGTTGCCTAATGCTCTGGGCTTACTCTAATGAAGCTTTTCCCATGGCACACGGCACTCTGTCCCTTGCCTCTCCTCTAAACTAGGCACAGAGGGTCCTGAAGGCAAAGATTGTATTTCTGTTACTTTAACTCAACTACCCATACAATGCATGAGGACAGCCGATACACAACATATTATCTGAATGCAAATGTGAAAGAAGGGAGGGAGTGAAAGCAGGTTGCTTTAATTTTTTTCTAAGAAAAAAGGGAACTTATTCTGAAAAATAAGAAATTGGAGGCTGCTTAAGAATTATGAAACTGACAGTAATGATACCTTCCTTGATGTCTAGTGACAATTAGCTTAATTTCTTGAATTCATGTATATCGCTTCAAATTCCTTCTGGATAATATTTTGCGGGTCCATTATTTGGACAAGTTTCTTTTTTCACTCCACACAACTGGTCAATTTTAATTAATAGTTTCCTACATCTGGGCTAAAAGGTATCTATTCTGGAAAAAGGTAGACTAGTGTATACATAAATGAAAAACATGTACTAAATTCCATGCTTAATTATTTTGTTTTCATCTGTAACTATAATGTTGCTGCAGACATTACTGTTTTGCATCACTGTAAATATCTTGGAAAAGTAACATCATCTTTTTAAAAAGACATTAACTTCACAGTGGTGACTGTAGAAGTAGTAGAATCCCAACAGTCGTGACATTTCAAACTGCTTTTGGTGTGTTCCTCGGGCTGCCACAACTTTTGCTGCACCTTTGCTTTTAGGCTGGCCACCCAAGGATCAGACCGTGTGGTTTTGGCCTCTCTCCTCTGATTGATTTCCCCAGTGAAATCATGTGCCTGGGAATGGAAAATGTGGAATATAAAACTTTATGACTAATCATTAGAGGTAATAGATTTTGTGTTGTTATTTGCTTTTTATGCCTTGCCTTTTAGTAGTTGTAGGAATACGCATGCATGCCAGTGCCTGTTTTTGCTTTCAATTAAAAAAATATCAAGAGAGGCTGGCCATGGCTCAGTGGTTGAGCATGGACTCATGAACCAAGAGGTCAGAGTTTGGTTCCCAGTCAGGGCGCATGCCTGAGTTGCAAGCTGGATCCCTAGGGTGGGGCATGCAGGAGGCAGCCAATCAATGATTCTCTCTCATCATTGATGTTTCTATCTCTCTCTCCAGTTCCCTTTCTCTCTGAAATCAATAAAAATTTAAAGAAAATTTTAGTAATTAGAAAAACTCTCCTCCAATCAGTTATCATCCAATGTTGACAACCAACCCCTACTTTTATTTGTTGGTTGATTTAGCAAATAGGTCCAGCAAATACAGCAGATAAAAGGATAAGGAAGTATCTCAGGTTCTTGAGTCCTATGGCCCAATCTCCCAGAGGCTGGTTTATGGAAAACATGATTAGCAATAATCCCAAGATCCTGTGTGCTTACATTGCCACCTACTGTTCACTCCAGGTACACCTCAAGCCAAAGGCAGTGGACGCTCTGGGTAAGAAACAGACTTGGTTTTGAGCCTTGGGTAATCATCAATCCCTAGCAGGATTAAGAAGTAGTCAAAGGCAGTGAGTGGGTACTGCTGTCAATGTGGACAATTAGTGATAATCATTTTATTGAATTTCACAAATTGTTAATATGTTAGCTTATAGATTTTTTAAGATGAGTGTTATACCAAAAACTAGATGAAGTAGTGAGAATTTTGTAAAATTTGAAGATTCCATAATATAAATCAGAAATATAAAAATACCATTTACAAATTTTGAGAAGACTTTCCTTCTTTAATTTAAATGGATTTATCCACTGCTAGTTCATCATTTATTACTTCTTAATAATATAATAAGTAATTAATTTCAAGAGTCATAATTAAGCATCCCCGTTCCAAACTGCAGCTTCTATTTTTTGTTGAAGTAAAAGTGCCCACCACCTTTCACACTGAATTCTTAGCTTTGGAGCTGGAAATTATTTCCTTGATGCTTAGAAAAGGGAGAAAGAATTCTACACCTTTATAAGTGCTCTCGACCATAAAGAATGACACAGTATGGATAACTCCCACCTGAACTTGTAATTTGAATGCCGTGGCATTCAAATGATGAAATAGGGGATCTACAAATCAAGTTTTTAGGGTTGAGAAATATGAGCTTTTGGGATCTGACCTGAATTACTATACGAGTTGGAAAAAGTAACCACTTAGTTCTTCATTTTAAAAAATTACTATTTCATTATATATATATATATAATTCTTTCTTCCTCAAGCCCATGAATATTATCAGGGGGAAAAAATCTCCCTGGAAAGGTAACAAATAAAAGAGCAGAGAAAGCAAGAGCCAGAAAGAGAGAGAATGAAAGAGAGAGAAGAAAAAGAACTCTCCATTTTGCAAGCCTATAACTACTAGAGAACCAGTGCATGAAATTCGTGCACTCGGGATGGGGGATCCCTCAGTCGGGCCTGCGCCCTCTTGTAGTCTGGGAGCCCTTGGGGGATGTCAGACTGCCGCGGAGGCAGGAGAGGCTCCCGCCACCGCCACTGCGCTCACCAGCGGTGAGCTCTGCTTCTGGCTGAGCGGCACTCCCCCTGTGAGAGGGCACTGACCACCAGGGGGCAGCTCCTGCATTGAGTGTCTGCCCCCTGGTGGTCAGCGTGCATCATAGCAACCGGTCATTCTGCAATTGGGTCAATTTGCATATTAGCCTTTTATTATATAGGATAGATCCGAACTAGGAGCATTGTTTTCCGATAGCAACAGGTTCTTTAACTGCTTTCCTTAGAAACAGCATTAATTGATTGGCAGATGATCCCCTTATTTTGTAGAATGAGGGTGTAATGCAAGTTAAGAAGTCTTTTCTTCAGCCCAAATTGTTAGTCTAATTGGTTAGGGCATTGATCAGGGGATTGAAGGTTTGTGGGTTCGATTCTGGTCAAGAGCATTTACCTCAGTTGCAGGCTCAATCACTGGTCCTGGTCGGGAGGCAACCAAACTCTTTGACTCTCCTGTATTAATGTTTCTCTCTGTCTCTCCCTTCCACTCTAAAGAAGAATCAATGGAAAAATATCCTCAAGTGAGGATTAACAACAACACACAAAAAAAGTCTCTTCTTCAGAAACAGGGCTGCTGAACAGAAACTTAGCACCTACTATCTGTTTAGTTAGCTCAATGGCTCTAGTAATGTGCCATTTGTTTCTTCTCTTACAACAAACACATCCCAAGCCCAAGCGACAAATAATTTGTCAATAAATATCTCTTTAACTGTAACTCCAGCACCTCCATTTTGGAATTTTATTATTCATCCTTTTCAAAATGTTTCCTATTAGTAAAAGAGTTCACAATTAAGTAACTATGTTGATATATACCTGGATATTGTATTCAGAGCATTGATGTTGTGACTTTAAATCACTCTGTATTGAGCTTCTAGGGGCTCCCCATTCATTTCCTGCCACACTGTCCAGTTTTAAAAAATTCAGTGATACTTAAGGTTTCAAAAAATTCCAATAAGGCAGCTTGAAGGGGTATATTCAATTAGGACTGGTAGGAAAAAAAGTTTCAAACAAGGTCGCCAGCCTCAGACACTGAGCCCTATGCAAGTGATGTGAACAAGTAGACATCACCATAGAGCAGGAGCCACCTACCATAATCAACATGAAATGAATCAGCCAGGAGAAGCAGAGCATTCTCCAACTCAAGACCTGGAGACGCCCACAGAAAAGCTCTCTCTTCAGCTGACTTCAAAGGCCAAGACCTAGGCAGTCAAGTCAAGTCAAGTGTCTGTTTCTAGACTTAAGGTTTGCATGCAGAAGGCTTGCACTATTCATATTTTTTTACTAGATAATGAAAGAAGATTTAAGAGAGAGAGAGAGAGAAGAGAGAAAGACCTTTGGGTAAAAGCTTCAAGATACATTTTTTTTTTAACGTTGGTATATTTTATATTTCCCTTCCTCCATGAGAAGCACTACAGTGGTGGGCACAATTATTCCCCCTACTCCCAAACAGACCAACAACAGCTCTATAAAGTCCTAAGAATAATTTTTTAAAAGTGACTTTTTACATGTCAAAGCATTGAGTCTCATAGTTTTGAGAACCAGATAATGGCCATAATAAGACTATAATTTCAAAGCTCTTCTTTGCTGCCGTCAATTTTGCAACCCTTCATGAAATCTCCGTTTCTGTGATGTGCCCCAGCCTGTTGAAGTAATGGGTCTCTTAGTGAACTGCCCCATTTGCCTAAAATGACCAACTTGATTGCACACTGACCTTGTTGGCGCTGTTAAAGAAATCATTCGCCCTTTTTAACCAGGTTTTCCTCTCCGCGATGAGCTGACCAAATTCTTCTTGAAGCCGGTTCAGTTTCTGGTTAGACAGCTGTAGGTGTTCTTTCTCCACATGGTCCTTGGACAGCAGAATCTCAAGCGCCTCGCTCTTCAGCTTCTCCACAGCGGAGTTCCATTCCTACGGGAGATCATTGTCTTCAGTCCGTTTTACACTTCCTACCCTTTCATCATCTCCGGTAAGAGTCAGAGAGCATTTAGATGTGTTGAACATATCATACATCTGTCATTATTCTTTCAGATCAAGAAGGAGTAAATGCTACATTCCAGCTATGAGTACCAACGTGTAGATTTTAAAAAGAGGCTAAAAAGGGAGAGGAAATGATGTAGAAGGGGCAGGTCATTTGTGATGTGTGACTGATGGAGTGTCTGGTTGCCCTTAACACGGGTCACTTCCATTCCCCATTAGTGTAACCAGAAAACACACCGAAATGGAGTCAACAGCATTTCTCAATTTCTAACTCATTTTGACCTTTCACTCATTTAAATATAAAAAAGTCTCTCACGGTTCAGTCTCACTGCCAATGTGAGCAAAAATGCACAAGAAAGGAAGGGAAATCTCATTTTTTTATGGCTGTTGTTTTTGCATCTGCCTACACCTAAAACTGACGTTAACAGCTGTTATTCTCCACAAAAGTAATCGTTGTAATTGTGCAGTACCCCCTCCTTCCTGGCCTGTTTCACCTCTCAATGCTTCACTCTTAATGATATATAAACATTTCAGAAAATGAAAAGAGGCAGCTTTTTAGGTTCTGTTGCATGAGGATGAAAAACAGTAAGGAGAGAAGAAAGAATATAGGAGTTGCTGTCAACCGAACACATTAACAGTCAATTTATTTGAAGGGAAATTCAAATTTCTTGCCAAGAACAGAAGCCAGATCCATTCTCATCTGTGAATTTTCTACCTTCCATCCTAGCTAAGATTCAGTGCTAACATAGGTTGTTTGTAAAGCATCAGAAATTTAGCACCAAATTTCAGAATGGCAGTCTGACTCAACCTGGCTTGTTTCCTAGTGCAAAATGTTCTATTATTAAGTCATATTAATTATATTATATTGGATAAAATAAGTATAATTTTGCTGCAATTTACCACTACTATTTACATTCATTCATTTCACAAGACATACCAAATACTATGTATCTAGCACTAGGCTAGAATCGATGTCTTGGGGAATGTAAATAAAGAATAAAATGTAGCTCTTTCCTTTAACAATAAATACATAAATTGCTATTTTATATAATTTTATATATACTTACATTGTTAAATATATATATATGTTGGCCTACAAACATATACATAGAGACAATCTGGTAATAATTAAATGACAATTAGTGGGTATTGAAGGTAGAAAGAATACATATGATTTTATGGACTCCAGAGAACCTGTTCTAGTATTTGTGTAAGAGAATGACACTTTGATCAATGGATACAAAAGTAAGGACAGTAGAACCCAGCCAGTGGGGCTCAGTGGTTGAGCATGGACCCATGCACCAAGAGATCACCAGTTTGATTCCCAGTTAGGGCACATGCTGGGTTGTGGGCTTGATCCCCAGTGAGGGGTATGCTGGAGGCAGCTGATCAATGTTTCTCTTTCATCATTTATGTTTCTATCCCTTCCTCTTCCTTCCTTTTTCTGAAATCCATAAAAAATAAAAACATTAAAAAAATAATCAATTGACATAAAAAAATAGTAAGAACAGTAGATTAAGGGATTGACATTTTTTAGCAGCTGTTATAAACCTGTGCCTTGTATGTATAAACCTTACAACTTCAGTTAGATGACATCATTTTTCCAGTATTTACATAGGCTCAAAGGAGTATGTTGCTCAAGGTTACATAAATAATAAAAAGCAGAATTAGGACAAGTTCACAGGTGTGTATATAATGCTACATTCCAGGGAAGTGAGGATAGAGAAACTCCAAAATCTCCCAGCTTCTCAGTGAGTGCAAAAGCAATACTCTTAGGCATGAAGAGAGGCTGTGTGAGTTCTCAAGATCCTTCCTTATTTAAAGAGTTATTTTGTCCCCGCTTAAGGACAGCTAGCATGTGCCATGACGTTCTTTCATAAAACACTTTGCAAATATCCCTCCCACTTAAAACCATTACCTTAACTTTTCTGAGAAAGAGCAAGTATTTCCCAAGCAGTTAGCACACTCCTGGTGCACATAATAGGCGCTCATTAAATGCTAGTTAGTCCCACTTTTCTTCTCATCACTGTTATTATGGTTCATGAGTACCCTGACATTTGTCCTTTACTTATGGGTGTTCTTGTTTCCCAGGTGTAAAATAACAACAGTGGGAAGGGTCTCCAAATGTATTCATCAGTATTAATCGAAATAAACAAAATAAAGCAGGTTTCTTTACTGCAGTACTTCTCAGAACTTTGACATGTTCATGTCCACTGAGACTCCTGGAGGAAAACGTGGTATGAAACACTTTGAAGACACCTTTTTGACCAAGAAACCATTTATTTGCTAATCATCTCAGGGACCAGTGCTGCAGTTGGAACAATATTGGGAAACACATTGTTATTGTGGCGAAGAGCCGCTGGATCACCTACAGGCTCACCTGCTTTCACAAGTCTTTCCGTTTCCTGTTTTGTTTTGTTTTGTTTTGTTTTGTCCCTATTCCTCCAGCTCCTCAATCAGTCCATTTCCTGTCTTTTGTGTCCATTCCCTCCTTTAGTGTCAGTTCAGATTTGTGGGCATTAATCCTCAGTGAACTCAGGTAAAGAGGTGCTTAATGTGTTAAAGCAAGTAATTCTTTTTAAAAAGTTTGACATTGACCAGAACCTTTAGTGCTCATTAGAGGACTACCACACTACCACATAAGAAATACAGAAACCCTGGGGGAGGCCAGGGAAGCTAGGGGGAAGGAGAATGGAGACAAAATTAGGATGTGGAGAAATCCACTCAGCCTGGACAACACTAAGCTCTAGGACAGTGATGGCAAACCTATGACATGCGTGTCAGAGGTGACACGCGAATTATTTTTTGGATTGATTTTTCTTTGTTAAATGGCATGTAAATATATAAAATAAATATCAAAAATATAAGTCTTTGTTTTACTATGGTTGCAAATATCAAAAAATTTCTATATGTGACACGGCACCAGAGTTAAGTTAGGGTTTTTCAAAATGCTGACACGCCGAGCTCAAAAGGTTCGCCATCACTGCCCTAGGATGTTGGCTTAACTGTCTGCCAAACAGTAAGGGTTGATTTTCCTGTCTAAATGCCAGCACTGTGCCACATGATTTACATGCATTATCTCATGTAATCTTCACCACACCCTCACAAGGTAGGATCTAGTATTATCTTCATTTTACTGATGGTGTAACTGAGGCGGAACTTGCCCAAGGTCTCCATGATAGTAACTGACAGAGTCACAATTCAAACTCAGGAGGTTTGACCCTACAATCTGCTCTCCCAACCAGTATCCTGCCTTAGCTCTTTATACCAGTTATATACAGTGTTGTTGTTTTTTAAACCACAGGAAGATTAAACATATTAGCTTAAAATGATAGAGGTGAAACTTCCAGAAGGCCTGGATAAGGCCATGAAAACGATCAAAGTTGTATATACCCCTGGGATTTTCTGACTTGAAATCAGAAACCTCATTGCTTCTAAATAAATGCAATGCTATTATAGATACAATTGAGAGTTAACAGCTCAAATTCAAGCTTAATTTTGCTTAGCAACTGTACCAAAATAATAAAACTCTTTGCTATGAATAAGAAGAGAATATCTGTCCTCTAACAGTGTGCATAAACCTGCCTGTCGTACACATTTTGCAAACAATGTTAAAGAGAGACTTCTGGAGGAGAGCCACGTCTGAAACCCCACTGTAACCTGGTGCTTCACGTTGTGCTGTAAGCAGTGGGCTGTGACCTTCCGGGGACACAGTGAAGGACCATTTTGTGCTCCTTACCTTTTCTTATTCACCATCCCCAGTCTTCTTAATTCCATTCTCACATGAACGCTGTGGGCATTAAATGAAGCTGGGTCTACTCAATATTTCTCCTCAATCTTCTAAGAAAAATTGGTTCTGCTTTCTTTGGGCAATCTATAGGCAGTTTCTGATGCATTTCTATACCATTTTGATGATGTATTTCTCCCGTCGTTTTCCTTAGGGGACACTTTTTAAGATAAAACTTTCCAGAGTCATCTGAATTCATCAAACTATTTTAAAACTGTCGTTGTTGTTGTTGTCAAGGCTGGAGGAACCCACTGGTGATAATCTTGGTCCGTTTTCTCCAAGCCCTGGCTGCCTGCCTGCTAAGTGTTCAACCTCTGACTGAGTTTCAGTCACTTTGCAATAAAAATATTTCCAGTACTTGTCCCCACCAAACACCTGCCATTACCGTGGCTTTTCAGTTGGCCAGGGCTGCATTCGTATCTCTGGCCCCATAAAGACGTGTGGCACAGTGTGTTCCTGGGCTAGGTGTATCCGTGGGTCATGCCATTATTCCCCTTCCTTACTCACAGTAGTAGCCCTTTTAAACTGTACATTTCAGTATTTTATTTGCTGAGAAAATTGAGCTTCTCTTGGACAGCTTGATTGAAAGGGCACTTTTAAGAGGATTAGTGCTGATAGACGAGAAGGTGAAAATAATTTCTTCTTTTTTTTTTTTTTTTTTTTTTTTTTTTAACAGTCCCAGGTTAGCTCTTCAAATGAAGTTATGGATTGGCATAAAAATATCCAGCAAGTAGATTTTAAAAAGTAAAAAAAAATATTAGCTACACCATTAGAAAAGAAACAGTGGAATCACAGTATGTTTTCTTGAGCTTTTTTTTTTTCCACGAGAACTTCTTTGTATATGGAGAGATTTAATTAATGATTCAACCCCATGTGGTGAATTATTTGCACTATACAGTTGACTTTAGAATGTAACTTTTAAGTGGGAGAAAATGGACACGAAGCAATAGAGAATATATTTGTAAACTACTAAGAAAATTTCAGTGGTGATGCCCGAACCGGTTTGGCTCAGTGGATAGAGCGTCGGCCTGCGGACTGAAGGGTCCCGGGTTCGATTCCGGTCAAGGGCATGTACCTGGGTTGCGGGCACATCCCCAGTAGGAGATGTGCGGGAGGCAGCTGATCGATGTTTCTCTCTCATCGATGTTTCTGACTCTCTCTCTCCCTTCCTCTCTGTAAAAAATCAATAAAATATATTTTTTTAAAAAAAAGAAAATTTCAGTGGTGAAGAATACCAGCCAAAATCACATCTGGCAGAAGCACGTGTCAAGTTCACTGGCAGTTCCTGTTAGCGGGGCTCTGCCCTAGGCCTTCGCATTAGGTAGAGCCCATTTCTTGTTGGCTCTCTAAATATCCAGTCCCATGTGGCTCAGCACCCAGGAGAATTAACTCACTGACACAAAATCCTAGAATTTTACATGACTGCCTTAACAGATGGTACACACAATTTAAGCTGGCAATTTTCATCAGAGAACATTTGAAAGTGTGTTTTGAGCAGGGATTCTTTTAGAAGAACTGTGGATGCTTTTGAAGATTGGCAGCGAGCTCCAGAAAAGCTGAAACTGATGGTGTTGAGTGGGATTGCAAACTGGACCACCGTTTCCTCTCATGCTCCCTTTTCTGGGCATTTCTACTTTGACTTACACAAATCAAGGGCCATACAAGAGAGATGGGTCTCACCCCACCGGCCACTTGAACTTTGCCCTCACTGTGCTACATTTCAGCAAAGGCTCAGATTGCAAACAGGAAGAACTGTGACACTGAGCATCACCTCGAGATGAAAGCAGCGTGGTGTTTCGCCTCCTGGCCGTAGGCAGAGAAGCACAGCTACACTTAGGGTAGAGCTGTCGGGTAAGAGCAGAGAACTGCAGCTAGAAGTGCACTTTTCATCGCAAACTTCCTAAGTGGTCTCACGCGGGGCACTTTGCTTTTCTAAGCCTTACCTCCCTGCCGTGCCTGGCAGCCACCACCACTTTACCCAGGCTTCTGCTTCTAGTGAATCATCTGTAAATTCAATGTGGAACTGGCTGTATTTCAGATTCCTGGATTGTAGGCCCCACCAAAATTTTAGTTTTTAGCTGTATTTTCCACAAATTAACCCTATCAGGATTGGGACTGACAGTGTATAATAGAAATGACAGATATCACCAACGTAATTTTTGAGTACTAGTTACTATTTTCTTTTTTTCTCAGTCCATTCAACTATTCCTAAAGCCGCAATGTGGGGGCAGAAACAGCTTGGAAGTTTTTGTTTCCCTCATTCTATTCCGTGCGTGGCCACTTTGGCTACACAAAGCAGGGTGCTTGCTGCTAATACTGAAGCAAATGGATGTGTGGCAGAATAAATTTTAAAATCCTAACAAATTGCACTCATGAGCAAGTCTTCGAAACGATTAGGGCAGCAATACATTTACTTTTTCCTTTCACACACAGTTCAACATAGTTTTTAGATAAAAATGTAATTACCTGGGAGAAAGTTTCTCAAGATTTGTGTTTTCCAAGAATCATTCATTTTTCTTTAGCACCTGGTCCTTGTTTTTATTAAATTTCTTGTTTCTCTTCATCATATCTTTTCTGAGGTGATTAAGTAAGAAGCAGGGCCATATTGGGTGGGTTTGCATTTCCATTTTTAATCAAAATTAGTAAAAGTCTAGCTGACCAAATTATTTTTACCTAACAGAGTTTATCTACAATCCACTGGCTGACTACATGGTCCCAGTTTATACTGATGTTCTCAAAAGATTTACTTTCTCATTTTCTAGAGAATCTGTTGGAGATATCTTCAGGAGCCCAACATGTAATTTAGGGGAAATTAATAGGTTTAGATGTTCACTTCTTGTGAATATTTCCCTAAATGAAATAGACTAAGTTGAGAAGGGAGGTAGAATCCACATATATTTTACCCATATGAACATCAGATACAGACTAGAACAACAGCTCTGAAATCTGGCTATCAGTATCTCCTAGGAAATTTTAAAAACACATTATTTCTACACTCACCCCATAACCCAATGAGTCACAACTATTATTGGTACAGTGGAAGAGTATGTGTTTTTTACAATATGAAGCATTTTATTTGAAATTAGGGGAAAAAAAACAGTAATACCTATAACCAGTCAAATTTTGAAATTTTATTGGTACAGTGGAAGAGTATGTGTTTTTTAAAATATGAAGCATTTTATTTGAAATTAGGCAAAAAAACACCAGTAATACCTATAACCAGTCAAATTTTGAAACCACTATACTAGAATAAGTAGTGATAGACCTAGAATAGTTTCTGAGTGATCATACCAATAAGTGGAGGGGCTATGTTATATAATAATAGTCTTAACCTTAAATTTTTAACTAACTTGATTCTGTGAAAATTACATTATTGTATTAATGACTCCCAAATCTAAAATTTAATTTCAGTTTTACAAAACACTTCATTTTAAAAAGTATTGTGTTGTGTTAAGCTGTGGCAAATAAACTTCTTTACCCTTATATTCCTTAAATGATTGATACAGCAATCCATCATGAGTTTAAAATAGCCCTGGTGTGTCTACAGCATACTACCCTGAACGCACCGGATCTCATCTAAAACAGCCTTGGTGCAATGTCGAAAATCTTAGCCTTAATTCATAAAGAAACAGAATTTCTACTTTGTACTTTCTTTACATTATTGTGTCAAAGAAACTGCTGATTTAAAAAGGAAGCAGAAAGCTGTTGTTTTTTTAAAGACAGGTAGAAGGTTCAAAACTGGTTAGATTTTGCTTTCCCAAACTTTTCTATATACCTATGTGGTTATCATTAACTTCCTCTGCAAACATTTTATAACCACATCTATAATATTTGTGCTCTATACCTTTATTATAGGAAAAATCCGACTTCTAATGGTTTGAAAGAAATTGTCTTCTAACAAAATCCAGTCAAGGCTAGAATTTCTTCAACTCATCTCCCTTTGTATAGGCTCTGGTTTTCACCTATTCACTATGTACATGCATAGGACTCTTACTCCACACTCAATAATCTGTGAACCAGCTGCAAATGACCATGGGATGGGCACTCTATAACTCTCCTACACTGAATGTGACACAATCTAAAAAGCACTATTAGATTACCAAAGTAATACAAAGGAGACAATTGTAAGTTCAAATAGAAAACACAACAAATACTGACTGGAAAGAAAAATCAGTCCTGGTATGGGGAATCTTATAAGTCCTCTTATTGGATTTTAAGGGTGGGCAGGAGTTTCAACAGGTGAGTCTAGAGTAGGGCTGGGGAGAAGGCAAGGTGGGAATAGGGATGAAAAAGAAATTTTTTATTATAGGCCTTGTGCACTTTTAATTTTTTTGAACCATGAAAATATATGGTCAAAAGGTAAATTAAATATATTGAGAAAGAAAGAAATGTAATTCACCAAATAAAATAGAAGAGAAAAACCATATGACCATCTCAATAGATGCAGAAATAGTCATTAATAGAATTCAGTGTCAATCATGGGTTGTTTTTTTTTTTAATCCAAAATGAGAGAAAAAATAGTCAAAAAACAAAACAATACAAAAAAAAGAGAAAACTCGAGAAACATCATATTTAATGATGAAGCATTTGACACATTCTATTTAAAGTCAGCAACAAGAAAGAGTGGTCACTGTCACCACTGCTAGTCTTCATTTTACTGTAGAGTAAATAAATAAATGTATTATGAATAGCAACAATGAAACATTATTGCCATTATGTGTAAATGTATGATTTTCTACATATACAAACCAAGAGAATCTAGAAAAATAATTTACGTCAATAATAGAATTCATCAAAGTTGCTATATATGGGATCAATATAAGAAAATCTGTAACATTCATATATAGCAGCAATTTTCAACCTTTTTCATCTTATGGCCCACATAAACTAGTTACTAAAATTCTGATCTAAAAAAAAAGGTATAATTTTAATGATTTGCAAAAAATAATAATAATAGTAATTACCTACCTACTTCTTTTGCTCCAAAGTGAGTTTTTAGATTAAACACTCTTTATTTGGTGCTTTTGCGTGCACAGCACTACAAGGCCTTGCCCTACCCCATTCCTAGAGGAACTCTGGGGGTGGGCTCAGCAGGCCACCTTCCCCCCAGCCTCCTTTCTGAAACCACTCCCTATAGGCCCCTGCGTAGTTGTGAGCCCCTTTGTATCCAGGCCCCAGGGCCAGCTATGTGGCCTGCAAGCCCCGCTTGCCCAGCTGACAGAAGAAAATGAGGTTTGCATCTCCCAGCCTCAGCATCTCAAAGGAGTACAGAGCCTGGGATGTTGAGCGCCTCTGGATGGCCTGGCCCTGGGCCAGCAGCGAGGGAGCGAGGGGGTGGGGGGGGAAGGGGCAGGAGCGAGCAGAGATCCAGGAGCCAGGTGGTGGGCACTGCGGCCATGGTGCGCACCCATGCAGCCAGGCCCCAAAGTGACTTTTAAAATAGCCAGGATTTCTGGTACCAAGAATTAACCAATCAGATGCAACCTTATTATGAGACGTTACCAATAAGGCGTAACTCTATTGCATTACCTATATATTTATGGTTCAAAACAAGGCATTCACACTAAAGGGTTATTGTGTTGGCTATTGTCATTTTCTTATTTGACAAATCTAAGGGAAAAGAATTAGTGCCCTTGACTAAAGAGTCATATACTGCGTGTTTTAAAATTTCTTGCTGCACACAGGTTGAAAATTGCTGCTATAGAGCAGCATTAGCCAATCACATTTCCTAAAAAAAGATCCCACTTATAAGAGCAACAAAAACTATGAGATAGTAATTTGTTCGTTTAATCAACAACTATTTATAGGGCAGGCCTACTCTATACCTAACATTCTTCTAAACAGGTCAATTAGTATGGTAGTGGGGTGAGGGGGAACTCCAATGTTAGTGATAGTGGTAGTGTATCATGTATTTTATTCTGTTTATCACCAATAGACAATAAATTGGCACATAATCTGGTTTGTTAGAAGGTGATAAAGCTGTCAAATAAAGACAAGTAGAGAAGGTTCGGGGACTTATGGGTTCCATGCAGGGCACGAGTCCATGTGCAGTATTGAATGTGGTCTGGGTAAGCCTCCATGAGTATGAGATTTGAGCCAAGATGAGGAAGTGAGGGGATGAGCCCACTGGGCTCTTTGGAGAAAGTGCTTTCTCAGCAGAGGACACAGCTAGAGTGAAAGCCCTCAGATGGGAGTTTCCTTGCCTGGTTGAAGGAAGGGCAAGACACCAGTGCTGGGGAGCCCAGCGAGGCAGGAGGAAGCAGAAGGAGCTGCAGGGGGAGAACCTCGGTGGGGGCAGCAGGAGGGCCATGTCAGCAGGGGCTTGTAAACACTGAAGTGTTTTATTCTGAGAGAAGTGGGAAGCTGCTGGAGTGACATGAAGGTATTTAACTTTAAAATAAACAAAATAAAGCCACTGGCTGTCATATGAGAACACAGTGTGGGAGAGGGGTGCAGAGATGCAAGCACCAAGATTTATGAAGGGGCTGTAGAATTGGCCAGGCATGGCTGGAGGTGGCTCATCCCCCCAGGATAGTAGTGAGATCATGAGAAACAACAGGATTCCGATTTATTTAGAAGATACAGCCCAGGTGATTTCCTGTAAAAGGAAAAGGAGCCAAGACTCTTTGACCTGAGTAACTGGAAAGACTGAGTTGCCCTGACCTGAGATGAGAAAAACTAGGAGGAAGAGATTTTGAGTGGGAAGATGAGGGATTCAGTTCATGACATCCTGTCCACA